CCCTCTTTGGCGCTCACGCTTTTTCTACGATTAAGGAGAGGGTATCAGAAGTAGTAGCGTAATTTATACACGAGAAGAAGTTCGCTCGCCCCTTATTCGCCTCACGTAAAAGTCGCCGATCAGAGTTTATTTTACTACGCGAGACACGATCATTATCCACCCCCCGTCCCCTTGACGCGCGATCCCTTACCGCGAGAAGCAACGCATACCGATCAGCAGGCAACAACGAGCAGGCCGTGTCGAGTGTGATAGCTGAGAAGTTGGAACAAACAAATGAAAAGAAGAAATAAGAAGAAAAGAAAAAGACTCTGAGTCTGTCGGGAGAAAAAATTTCATAGATATTTACTTACGTTATTTTTGTGTTCTTCTTTTCTTTCTCCGCTTCACAAAAACCCGTAGCTCTGTGATTTCTGGATGTTGCATTCGCTGAATATTCTTGAGATACTTCGATCACTTTGCCAGAAATTCACTTTGAAACTGTCGGTATACCAAAATATCTAAGAAACTTCCTCGGTGGGCAACTAATAACATATTCGCTAATACTAATGTAAGATATTTTTTAAACAAAAATTATTAGACTCTAAATTAGTTTGTTCTGAATTAAGAAAATTGAAAATATTTATACGTATTATGTGTTGGCAAATGTCATTGGCCCGTATATTGGTCGTCTTCTACGATACGCAATTTTATATTAACAATGTTCATTTTTTCTCACTATAAGAATGTTTATAAATGTAATCTTTGAATACAAAAAATTGCAAAAGATCTAAAAAATATAAAAACACTTTTTAGCTTTTTTTATCATAATATATATTTTTTTAATATATTAAAAACCAAACTTTCGAAATTAAACCATTATTGAGACTGTTACCTTGCCATTTCCTCAAAATTTTAGCTTTTCACGAAAGTAATTGTTTATTTTGTTCAAATAAAAGAGAGAGAGAATTTGGATTTAAGTAAATATGTTATTAATCCCACCGAAAAAAAAATTATTCGTTTCTTCTTAGACATTCTTTCTTTCAGTGTAGGCGAATGCAAGAGACGAGGATCTCTCAGTTTGAATACCAGAAGATTCTCTGTGGAAAACAGGGAGGAAATTCCGCGATCACCGCGTTCGATTTCCGAACTTTTCACTCGACAGAGCATGAATCGTGGACACGATTTTTTTTTTTTTAGATCGAACGCTGACGGACGCGAGATAGTCGTTGCTTTCATTTTACGTCCTTCCCCCTCGCGTTTCTCCCTCTAATGTTAGCGCAACCCTCAGCGTTTTTGGTTTCACGTTATCCACGAGGATACGTCTTGTTTTCTCTCCCTCTCCCCCGCCCCCCCCCTGCCTCCCCTCGTCCATCCGCCGACGAATCAGGGGCGAGCGAATCGCGGTATGCTGCCAGTTGGATTTTAACGAGATATGGTTTTTTTCGTTTCTGTTTAGTACGACAGTTTGTGACCGGCGGCGGAGACAATTTGCCCGGTACGTAACTCACAAATCTCTTTTTTCTTTTTCCTCATTACGCGCCCTTCAGCTGAAAAAAAAAAAGAAAAGAAAATGAAAAGCAACCGTTCTCCGAAGATGATGCGCGCGCCTCGTCCGCGACGACCTCGTTTCTCTCTCGCGTCGTGTTGCGCGCTGGTTACAACAACGTCGTCGACGTCGCTGTGTGGTTGTTAATAAAATAGAAACGTAGAAGTTACGAGTGCTGATTTCCTCCCACCGGCGGGGCGGTAATCGTGCGCGCGGAATCGAAAATCGATTTGACGCGAAGTACCTCCGGGCGGACATCGCCGCGTCGTCTCACCTTGGGACGAAGGCTGCCCGCGTATCATTGACGGCGGCGTTTTGTCAAAATTAATCGCGGCTCCGAACGGCGACGTTTCTCTGTATTTCAACGAGAGCCTCGCACCACGCCGCGAACATTGCTCGCGCGCTGGACAGCACGAAATTATCGCGAGATCTCGCAAATTTGCCGACGTCGATCGCGCACCGGATGTCGCGACTCGCGCCGCGCCGACAAAATTCAAGATCGCAACGAGCTCCTCAACACGGTGATCGACGCGAGGAGAGGACGAGGATCGAGGAGGAGTAGATGCAGCTCCGGCAAACCGGACCTGGCGCGCACATCATCCAGTGTTTTCCCCGAGCGCCACTTTTGTTTCTTTACGCTTTTTGTCATTCGTTATTGATTATGATTTGCCATTACGATCTCTCGATTCTACTGACATATACGTACGTACACGCGATCGAATGTACTCGCTTTGTTTTTTGTCACTCTATCTTTATTTTTTCTTTCTCTCACTTTTTCACTCACTCTCTATGTCTCTCACTTCTCCGTCCCTCCCTCTCTTTCTCTCTCTCGTTGTTTCTGTCTCTCCTCTCCCTCCCTGTTATATCTTTCTTTCTCCCCTTTCCTTTCTTTATCTTTCTCTCCCATTCCTTGTGTCTTTCTCTCTCTATTTTTATTTTTTTTTATTTTTCTGTCTTCTTCTCCCTCCTTCTTCCCTTCTCTATGATATTTTTTTCTTTATCTCTTTCTCCCTCTATCTGTCTCTCTCTCTCTCTCTCTCTCTCTCTCTC